TATTACACATATTACATACATTTTTGTGTTTGCTGTAACTATAGATGTTAGAAGTTAGCAGTTAGAAATTGAAGTGAGCACTGGGTGTTATATGCAAACAGTGAATCATGGAACACTACATCAAAAACTAATGATGTCATGTATGGTGATTAACATAACATAATAAAGAAAAAAAATCTAAAAAAAAAAAAGAAATTGAAGTGAGCTATTGTCATTCTAGGGCATATTCTGGAAACTGTTTATTGCTAAATTTTTATTAGGTTCCTGATGTCAGTTTGATTCCTTGTCACTGGTCTTAAGAAATAAATTACAACTCATTCAAGGGTATTGAATTACTAATGTAGTACTTCATAGTGCTTCATTGGTTAGCCTCCGGGTACATTGGTAGTTCTCTTTCCCTCACTGAATGTTAACTTTGTTAACACTGTTGGATTTTAATTTGTTTAATTGCATATGAAGCACTAATATTTGTCGCCACTCTAAGAATCTGTATTAGTCATGCCCTAAAACAAAAGTGTTGCATGATTTTCTTATGGCAGTGGTGCCGTAATACCTTTGGAAAAATAACAGTGCTGCTTTTCTGTGTTAGACTCGTCTAAGGCTCATCCCCGTGTATGTTTTAGAGAAGCACACCATGAGTGCCATGAGGAGGAGATGGTTTTAATCCACCCATCATTTTTCTATCCATCAAACTTCTATTGAGCGCTTGACATGCCCCGGTATCGTCCTAGCAACTGCAGTTGCGGATGTTAGTTTCCCGATACTCAGGGAGCACTGAGTCTTCCCTTCCTGACTGGAGATCATGCATTCCCAGAGTCGTTGAAAAGGATTTTGCTAGATGACAGCTTTTGCCTCTGTGTATGTGTGTGTGTGTGTGTGTGTGTGTATGCGATTTGCTCCACTTCAGTTCACTTTCTCCATGACCGCACTCCCTCACACGTAAAGTTCTACAAGTAACTTAAGTTTGCTGATTTTTCGTCTTTAGTCTCCTCCACTCTGCTAATTTATCATGTTGACAGTAGGGTTAATTTACCTTATTTGTAGCTTTTCTGCATCTTTCTGCACCTTTTATATCTGCACCTGTCATTTTAATGTGAACTCATGATACTTCTTGATATTGTAAATTATTTCAATTTCTTAATACGTATTTTCTATTATAATACGATTCTCAACAGTGCAGTTTTTTGATGTTCATTATACTTCTATGGAGGAGAAGCTAATGTAATCAATCAGTAATTTTCCAAGTATCTCATTGCAGTGTATTGTGGTTGGCTCTACTTTAGAGTGTAGCTTAGCCCCAAAACCAAAATGAGATTTCAAATGCCCACATTATCCCTACTATTCAACAAAAACAAAGGAGCAATTTAGGGATGAATAGAAGACTGACTTTCTTTCAAGCACTTACTGGATAGTGGTGAAGTATGGCTAGGAGTTTCTTAGTATGGAAAGAGGAAGAAGAAGAGCCTCCCCTTATCTTGGCTCCCTTTCTCACATTCAAACAAACATGTACTTATATTTTACATGTTTACTAATTATGATATTCGTGTTTTTATTTACCACTGGGCCATTAGTATTTGGTAGATTCCTACTTCCTCTGTACACAGTGCAGTTTAATAAAGCAATATATATCTAGTAAGCCCTTAAAAAGTAGTTGACTGGGCCTCTGGAAATTTATTTATAATTAAAGTTTCATGTGTCTTTTCCTGGTTTTGATTCATGGAATGAGAAAGACCTGGTTTTGATTCATGGAATGAGAAAGACCTAATGAGGAAGTCTGTGGTCAATTCGACACACTGGAACAGAATTTTAAAACTAGTTTGAACTTAGTTTTCCTTGCTTTTCCTTTTATATTTGGTTATAGTTTGGAGGGCATGGGGTGGGCATTGTGGTTCCTCATCTTCAGAAGACTCCTTTTAGGTTAGAACAAAATTAAAATAGCCTTGATATTTACACAGACTAAAATTTGTGACATCAATCCAAATCTTTTCCTTTTGAATTCTAGTATAAAACGAAACTAATAAAGTGTAATATTAAAAAATAATAATACGGCTTGAAAAAGTGGTGTGTCCATAAAGGGAACTTATTATTAGAATTGAGCTATTTAAATTTCTGTTTGTATAATGACAAAAACGTCATGAGGCAAGTGTATAGAATGAGATTGAGCCACCTGCTGGCTCGTAAAATAATAATTTGTATCCTAAAAAATTTATTCCAAGCAACTAAGGAAAATCAAAGACAGTAACAGTTGAAACCAAAGTTTCCACTCAAACATTGGTATGTTAAAGGTGCTTTAAGGAGTTTTGCAGTTTATGCTTTGGAAGGTTTCTGTATATTCTTAAGTATATATACATCTGTTAGAAAGCTAATATTAGAAACCATTTATTGGAAAGTGATATACTTACTTGGCTAAATTTCCTAGCTTTTTGTATCTTCTAAGTCCTTGGATTAGTGTGAGTTTTTGTTTTGTGTTTTAAACATCTAATCCACTGAAATTCTTCACAGTACCCAGGGCTTCTGACTCTAATAAATGGAGTCTTACTGTATATCCTAAATAATTATAAATAAATATATAATAGGTGAGCATCACTTGATACCTTAGAGCATTTCTGCATTTTTCCTTGTCTGCAGGATTTTGGTAGTTTATCTTTGGTTTTATATTTCTCCTCTTTTAGATGTTAATATGTTATCATAAGACCCAGAAAACAGTAAAAACATCTTTAGTTGGCCAAAGGCCTGGTATTGCACTTTGGCTGATACTTTGTTTTGCCAGTCTCCTTTCTAGTGTTGTAAACTGCCCTGTGAGGGCAGTTGGGGCTGTTTGCACTTCTAGTGAATTCCTTCTCAATCTGTGATGAGATTAGAATCATTTAAACTCATGACAATTCCAAGAAGCTATGGATGGCTGATAAACACCTCAGTTAGAGTCAGTAGAAGTTCTTGGTTTAGACACAGTCCGCATTATTTAGTTCTGGTAATCTGTCTCCATGTCCTGACTTACACTTTTTTGTGTGTGTGTCTTAAATTGATGAGGTAAAGCCTTGCTCATATGTTTTGGAAAAGCTCATAGCTTTTCTCGTGATACCATTCTTACGGAACCAACTCTGGAGATGTTATATGACCTTTTTGTATCCGGTATCTAGGTATTTATTCCCACATCATCAGAGTAAAGAAGTAGGATTTCTAGATGTGACATTGTTGCACCCAGTTGTCCAGGGTTTAGCAGATCAATTTAAATCTCTCATTTTTATTTTCTTAATCTACAAAATATTATAGTGGGACCAGATTATTTCTTGGGTTCTCATTCACTATAATTTTTCCTATGGATCTGTGTTGATTCTGTGAGGATAACTGTGAACGTAAACAATGGTCTGTTAATCGTCTATTGTATTATTGCTATTTCAATTTGCCTTTTTCATTTTGTTTCCTTTTGCTGGAGTGATTATTTATATGGTCAGCACTAAAAAGATGAAAATGATTTCCCATTGTTAAAATGCAGTATTTAGCAGTAAGATACCATGCTCTCCTACTTCTTTGCCAGTATACGTTTTTATTCCTCAAGAATATTAGTTAAACATTTATTGAATACTTACCATGTAGCAGACTGGTGCCCTGCACTAGAAGTAGTAATGCGTGAAACATAATTCCTGTCCTCAGGGGACTTTCAGTATAGTGATTTTTGTTTGTTTGTTTGTTTGTTTGTTGACAATCTAATCTCCTCAGCCCTGATAATTTCCCTGTAGGTTCTGGCATATTCTTATATCTTTTTTCTAGGAATGTTAACCTGAGACGAGTCAACTTCTTTATGCCCTTTATGTGATTATAGTAAATTTCAATGTTCTCTTAGGGTCAGAAAAGTACATGTCAACGATTTTGTAAAAATGACATATATATCTTTTAGGGCATAGTATATTTCTGAATGATGAGAAATTAATTTTTTCATTGGTCCCTACCTTGTAGGATAGTAGTCATAAATGAATGAAGCCCAGGTTGAGCTTGATACATTTAGAGAGACCTTGAAGTTAAAGAAGAACCTTTAAATCTACTGAGAACAGTTCTTAGAATAATTTAGGAGGCAGTATGGGTGTTTTGTATCCTTGAAAAGTCTTTGAATGGCAACTTTATATACTGGATTATATTTAACTTCCCCTTACTCAGCTGTTTATGAGAGATCACGAATTGTTACATTTGTGAATTAAGTTACGGTTTTACACACCTTTGCCTTTGTTAAGACAGTGGAGGAAAAGGGGTCATTTCAGAAATACTGTTGCTCTAGCTGAGTTCACAGTGCTAACAAGCTGGCGCTGTCGTAGCTTCATAGTTGTAAGTATATGCCTGGTTTTCCACTAGGTAAGGTCTCTGGTGTAGAAGAGGCAAAGACCATATAAATTCACTTCATTATTTCCAAAAGGTAATCCAAGAGACATATTTATGCAAGTGTAGCTTTTCATGCTGCTTTGTACTTTGGGTAAGAAAGGTGCTGTAAAGGAATTTTATAGACCAGCTGACTTGATTTTACTTAAAATGTAGTTTTATCGTTAGTTCAATATTAATGAGTTTTTCCACTCATGTAAGTAAACTTAGGAGGTCCACTTAATTCAGACTTTTTTTTTTTTTTTTAGAAATAGTTTCATTTCAACTTCAGGTAGTTTTACTGTGAATATATTTTATAATACTTGTACCAGAGTCCTTATGTTAATCTCGAATGTCATCACAGCAGTGATTCTTAAAGACCATTAATGTAGTATAAATCTGCACTTTTGTTGAGTAAAATGATTGTCATAATCAGACCATTATTGTGATATTCTAACACCATTTCTGAGATATCTTGTTATGTGAAATAAAAAAGATAATGATAATGATACTAATGATTGGGGTATAATACAGGCATAATAGGCTATATCTATTGATACCTTGTCTTTACTTTTATAGCGTTTGATCTTGTCATAATAAGGCTGCCATCATTATGAATTCTTAACTTTTCTCTTACTTTAAACACATAGGGATGTGAGATTATTTCAACGCCTGACCAAGACCATACCGACTTTACCAAGTGTCTTGAACTGCTCCAAAAAAAGATAGAAGAAAAAGACTTACAGGTAAAATATACACCTTTTTGGTGGTTAAGAGTCTTAGTACCAAGGGTGTGAAAGATCCTGCTTAAAGTTTTTACTCCTCTGAAGTGATTAGTTATTCTTGTGCGAATGTTTTGGCTGTCAGATTTTTCCTGTATATTGAATAAATCTGTACTTAGCTGCCAAAGTATTAATGTGCACTTAAATCAGAGGTCAAAGATTCAAATGCCTTATAGTGATAAAGTCACAAAATGGGTGAAGTGGACCTTATATAAAGTAGTTGAGACTGCAGCTCATTCTTGGCCTAAAATGAGTAGCAACTTTTCATCTCTCATTCATCGTTTCCATGAAGACCTATTTGTGTTTTCTTTTTATATGTGTGTTTAAATATTGTGAGGGCAAAACAAACAAACGTGGCCTATATTTGGCCCATGAGTCATCATTACAAACTCTTATATAAACAAACAAAACATGATCAACTTTTTTAAATCAGAGAAGAGTCTGCTACTTTGCATTTGTGGACTCTAAGGTATTCAATGATTCTCACCTAGCATCCAAGCATTTAATAACACTAGTTAGCTAGTATACACGTTTATATTTTATTATATTTCACAATTTTTCTTGGTACTTGAAATAATATGCAAAATATTTTTTAAGCCAGTGTTTAGTGAAGATCAACCAAATTAAGCCTGAAGCATTGAATGGCAATTGACCATTCTTTTACTGGCAGAAGCAGGAGGGTAAGCTGAGGTGCACGATCAGATTTGTAATTTTAAACTAAGAAAAGTAGCAAAACACCTTTGTACATTAAAATGCTTTTGATGGTACAAATAACAAGAAGTACATTTCAACCTGGCCTCAATAGTCAGATAGGTAGTCTTCAGATACAACTCAGATGTCTTGTCTGTTTCTTTGATTGTCTTCATTCTGCTTCGTAGGCTTTGTCTCTAGTATGGTGTAGCATTTTAGCAGCATTTTAGTCCTTCACGTATAGGGGGATTAAAGGAGTAGGGACATCACTTCCCGTCATCATCATCAAACTTCAGTCCTGAGATCTCTCCATTAGGCCACTCGTGGTTTTGGCAACATAGGATGAGAGTACCCTGATTGTCTTGGACTGGAGCCGGGATTGAGATCCATCCACCTGTCTCATGCAGACTAATACCTATGTGGCAGGACAGCAGAGGTGTTGGAGGGGCAGACCTAAGAAAAACTTACTCCCTCACAAAAGTTTTTCAAAGATTGCTTTTGGCATATATTTACTAAGTTGAGGTAGTAGATCCTTTTCTGTCTTTGAAGACAAGCCTTGTTAATTATCCTAATTGACAAGTAGCACATTGTACAAACTGAACAAAATTGAGTGAACATTTCCCATCTCTGTTGTAGCTTGAACTATACCAAATGTATTGTGCTATTTCCAGCAATAAATTGCTATAATTAAATATTTGTTTAACGAAAACAGAACACAGCCCATTGAGAGTTATCTGCTTCATCCAGACATAGTTTCTTAGAAAAGAAATTGTAAATTCTTCACAACTGGTGTTTCAGTTTTCCTAGCATCAACACTGAAATTATTGAAAGCTGGGAATGCAATTATGTGTGTAAAATTGATAGTATCTGTAATACAGTATTTGGTCATTAAGTCTGAAAATAAATAATAGTATCTCAAACTTAACGCTGAAATTCAGAGAGCGCCTTAAACTGAGGGAAGAGGGTGATCAGGTATCAGGTGTATATGATCTGCGAAACTAATCTGGTAAGGTCTTGGATGATCCAATAGGGAGGACAGAATCAAGACCTGTTAGAGCAGTCGTGCATTGAGCAGAAAGGACCAGACCCTCCTACCCCCATTGTGGTTAGTCACGAGCTACAAGCTGTCAGGGAAGGGTGTGGCCTTGGTGGCCCACTTTGCTGTATCCTGGAGTTGCCACTGGGCCATGACAACCAGCTGGCCCCCTCACAGCGCTAGCGAGTTCTTTCTAGGGGGAAAAGGAGCAGTGCACTTCCACGGCTGCCTCAGGCCCCTGGCATGATTTAGGCCCAGCACGTTCTCCAGCCTCGTCTTGTACTACTATTTCTCTTTGGAAAATATACCCTAGTCCCTCTCCTTCTCTGCCTTAGGTGTTGTCTCCTCTGCCTAGATTGTTTTTGCATATCATTTGAATATTTTTCGAATTTTTCTTTCTCTTCACCTGTCCCACAATGGCAAAATAGGTGAGGTCATTAAGGAGGCCTTCTCTTCCCCATTCCTCCAGGTTAGTTTCTGCCACTCTATGTATCTGTACCCCCTTTGTTCTCCTTCAAGGCACTCTGAACACTTCCAGTAATTGTGTTGGTTATTTCTAATTGTTTGCTGGAAGCCTTTCTTCCCAGCCTGACCATATAGCCCACAAAGCTGGGACAGATCTGTCTTGTTCATGCCTGAACAACAGCCCCTTGCATGGAAGAGGTGCTTTGTGACTGTTGAATCTGTGTTGTGCACTATGGGAACACACAGGGGAGTTGAATACAACACAGGTAGGGGAAGGGCTTCTTAGAGAAGGGCTGAGACATCATAAACGGATAGGGGTTGCATGGCAGAGGGAAGAAGAGTGTTCTAGGATAGATACCTCAGTACTCAGGGAAGATGGATAGCTCTTCAGTGAACCAATGGCAGGGAGTTTGAAGAGTTCTAAGATGGACAACAGTGTGATTAGTTTGGTGTTTTAAAAAGCATCGTTGGATAAACTGAAGGCTCCATGACTCACAACAAAAACCTTGTGGTTTCCTTAATATAACCTTCAGGTTACAGTAAATCTGATGAAATAGAGTATCTGTGAGCTTCCACTCGACTTTACATTTAACCTGGAGATACAGCATTTCATTTGATTTAATGTAATAGCAAGAGAAAGGCTAAATTAGAAAGACTAGCAAGGAAAGTAATAAAAGATGCTCCTACCCCCAAGTGAGATCATCTTGAGATGAGGGCTGTTCAAAATTTCTACTTAAAATGCACATAAACTACTTAGAAATATCTTTTATACTTCACCTAATAAGTCCTATCAAATTATCATACATTTGTATTTCTACTTACTAAATTATAAATATGAATTTGTCATCAAAGTGTCTATATTTGTAAGAACTTATCTTACTGACACACTTTAAAATGTTAGTTATAAGATAAATAAAATTAATATTTAATATGTTAAGAAACCGTACTATGTAACATCTTAGAACTTTATAGAATTTGAATTAGTCTGTCCTTACCCTGAAGGAGCTTACTATCCAGAACATGTGCTTAATTTTTTAAAATTTCCCTAAATCACTACATTTATTTATCTATTTTAAACATATTTACCCTCAACTTTTATTCTTTTGCAAAAGGATTCACCAATACATGTGACTTTTTAATGCTTTGCTTTCATGTTACCACATTATTTATCTGTAACTGAGTCATGAATAATACATTATTAGGATGCCATCTGATATGACTGGATCTTCAAAGAGCACATATATTTTCTGATGTCATGATGCATCCTTGAGATCTAAACCTTTGAATTCAGTGGAAAACATTAAAAGCTATTGCTCCAACTTTCTAAAAATGTAAGATGCATGTTGTTTAGGAAGAAGCAAAACAAATCTAGATTATAAGGCCCTGAGAATAACAGGCCTCCTAAAATACAGTTGGAGTATTTCCTACTATTATATGATGACAGAATTCTGTATTTCAGTCTCTGAGGTTTTATTTTTTATTTTTATTTTATTTTATTTTTACTGGCTGCTTGGAGTTTATTTTCCACTTGGTACAGGCACACAGTTCCAGGGTGTGAGGAAGACTTGCGTGTGGCTTGGATAGTAAAGAGTGGGATTCTCACAACTTCGTTTTTGGTGTTTTGCTATTTTGATATAAAAGAACCCAATTGCTTCTGCTTGTGGCAGCCTGCCTAGTCTATGGGGTAGGGAGGGGGGGTCCAGCACCTCCTGAAGCCTGGTGGTGGCCACTCAGGATGGCGGCCTGGTGTTGGCTTTGCCAGGCTGGTCACCAAGGTGCTTCCTCATGGCTTCCAGAGCCAAGTCGTGGTTGATGGTGCTGCTGGAGACTTGAGGAGATTCCGAGCGTTCTGGGGACTCCAACACTGTAGCCATGAACGGGAGAGTGGACTTCCCGAAGAAGAAACTTGCCCACCAGTGACCGGGGTCAGCCCTGGGGTGGTGAGGGATGGCTTCCCCAGCGTACTCTGCACGTCTGCAGGAGCTGTTACTAGAAGGGGAGCCTGGGCAGTGGGGGTGATAGTTGTGGGTGGCCACGAGCGAACCGCTGGAGGGGATGGCTGCCATGCTGTCGCTTGTGGGCTGGTGGAAACCTGCGCATGCAGGGATCAGGGTGCCCCTCCGGTCACCCTCTGCCCCTTGGGCAGGGTGTTCCCCGCTTGGGCTAGTCTCTGAGGTTTTAAACACAGATTTAATATTAAACAAAATTTGGGCAGAAAAGTTGTCCTTAATTGCACACTGTTGGTTGTATAGATTTAAATGCATACTAGTTTAATTTGTTGAAACTTTAATACATTTTATCCCCCTTGTCCCATGTTATTTTTTTAATTAATTTTTCAATCAAATAATGTAGGATGTGGAAAAAGTACTATATGAATAAGAGCTAATGCCTAAATTTTATGCACACAAATATTAATAACTACAATTAAATACTACATAAAGACTATGGGATTATTACATATTAAGTTTTTTAAAATTATTTTAATAGACTGAGCAAATATTGGATTGTGACTTGTATGTATTAGAATAGTTTCTATGCATTTATGTCTGAATTGGAATTCTTGATTATTGAAATTAGGTGAGGAATATTAGTCTTTCTATTTAATTCCTACATGGTATTTCTCAGATACATTATGTTTAGACATCTGCAAATGCTATGAGTTTTAGAATACTTATGTCCACTAATTATCAGTATTGGGTTAGGTGTACATTATTGTTTTGTAATGGACTAATGGCTATGTCCATACTAAATATCTGTTGCTCCTCACTTGAAA